CACCTGAGACACCTGTCTGTCTGTCCTGCACTCTCTCTCTTTTTCTTTCTCTCTGATTGTGTAATAAAAGTATGAACATGTATTTATAAGTTACACTTGTGTTTGAATCCTGCAGCTTATCACACATTTGATTTCCACGTGTCCCAACTGCAAGTGTCCAGAGTGAGGACAGACTGAGGGACACACTGCGGCACATCATCTGTGAGGCTTTGCACCCCTGATGATCCACCAGGACAAACTCAGCAGTGTGTGAGGAAGAGGAGGAAGAGCCAGCAGCAGCTGACCGATGGAGAGAATAGACAGACTGTTCCCTGTTTGTGAAGGACTGCTAGGAAAGTTATAACTAATTGTCTGTCCTGAATCAGTCTTATTAGGTAATGTTAAAATAATTTGATCATTCCAGTGTTTTCAGTGTGGGAGAAAGTACTCAGGGCCTTCAAGTTACACACTATGAAAGGCAGCAACAAGTTTAATATTCAGAAACCTAAAGTATGTATCAGCAGCAGAATGGAGCTAAAAATAAATGTTTGTTTCAGTTCTATGAAGCTTTGAGTATTTTGGATCAGTTGCACTGCTGTGTTTGTTGCATCATATTGCTGTAATTGTTTATATGCTTTATATATTCTGAGGTAAGTTGATCTATAGTGTTACATCATATGTGTTTGTGTACTTTCTGCCCAGTTTGACCCATTTAGCAGAAGTCAGCCTGTTTAAGGCTCTGATATCTATTCTGTATGACTTAAAGCAGTTATGACATGGTCTGATTTTCTCACCCATTAAAGGAATATTTTATATATCAGTCTACTCTTCATTCTATCAGACACAGTTTTCACAGCTCGTACATTTTGCTTTTTACACATATATGTAAGTATTGAGCCAAATTTAGTAATGCCAATATACTGAAAGAACAATATTTGTCTCTTCTATATGATAGGGCTTCACGATTAATCGTTAGAAAATCACGATCTCGATTCATACTTACGTGCGATCTCATTTCCAAATAACAACGATTTAAAAAAAAAAAAAACAAAAACAAAAAAAGATGACGACGACTGTACCGCATTTTGATCCGGGACGTAATCTGCATGAAAACAAGCGCTCACTCTTCCTGCTCAACAAATGACAAGGGCGGAGCCTTATACCACGTGATACAGAACCTGTGCCGTGTGATGCTAAAATTAGCAGGGAAAAAACAACGGAGAGCAAGTCAGGGATGACGAGAAAGTGACAGGAAAAAATCCGTCCCGGTCAACCACCCAAACATCAATAACGGAAACCTTATACAGCGCTTCCCTATACACGTCGAACTTCCGCAGGCACAAAGAAATTACGGAGGCTATCACTTATCACCTGACCAAAGATATGGCTCCCATCAACACTGTGCAAAACGAGGGATTTAGGAAAATGATCAACACCCTAGACAAACGCTACACAGTGCCGTCCCGCAACTATTTTTCTATTGTTGCACTACCTGCTCTATACACGCAGTGTCGAGCAACGGTGGAGACGGAATTTCAAGCAGTACAACATTTTGCGCCAACAACAAAACCTGAGACATTTGTTGTTTTTATGTTTATTTATTGTTTTTATGTTCAGTCTCAACTGTTACGAAGTTGATGTGCAGTTAATAAGTGCAATAAATATTTATACTGGAAATATACATGTTCTCACTTTCATTAGAATTTTGTTTATCAAAAGGTCTGACATGGTAAATGCAAATAACAGCATTCTCATCACTTATTTCTTCAATACAATATGCATGTCCTTCATTCATCCCTTTGTGGAACTTCAACGCACTTCTGCTCTCCCCCATATTCCATCTTCACAAGCATATCCTGTGCGGAGATTGAATAAAAATTAGTTGACATTAATTAATGGCACAAATAATCCAGTAAACAATTGCAGCACAGTAAAAAAAAAAAAAAAAAGGAATCCTCTTTGAGCCATTACTTGTGTAAAGTATTTTCCCAAAAGACAAAGACACAGGCAACAGGTAATACTGAACTAAATGTAAAACCTCAACCTTTTTCATTTTTACCTAAACCGTGTGCACAAAACTCTGGAGGGATCTAAATGCTAACGTAGAATCGAGTCAGGACGTCAGCTACTGCTGTTTGCTCGTTTGTTTTTTTTTATGGGCGATCGTTTTCAGGCTTCAAGTAGCACCATTATACCAACATTTCACATTCTAGACATTGTTTTAGGTGTATTTGACCAAAAGTTTGACTGAAAATTCACATGCAAGCTTTTTTTTTCAAGGCTGTGGTATTTGCCCGCAAACAATACCTTTCAGCTAGCTAAAACAGAATATTATGCTATCACCGAGCAACATGGCTAATGCCTTTCACACAGCTTTGTCTCAACTCCAAAGAGCCACAGAAGTAAAAGCTCATAATAATAATTGAAACAATCATTGAAAAAATGACTTACCAAGCATGGCAAACAACTCAAATATGTAGAGCAAAATGTTCTGAAACGGCTTCACTTCAGCTTCGATTGGAGCCGTGCTGGGGGCGGAGTCTGTGAATTTACTCTGTTGGTGTCATAGCCCCTGTAGGAGTTCAGAGTTAAGAGGTCAAGAGTTAATGTTTCCATTGTAACACCTCCAGATTTGACAGAGAAACACTCATTTTTAACACTCGATTTTAACTACTATCATTTTAGACCTCAGAGTTACATTAAAAGAATGTGACTCTGCTTAGAGTAAAATTAACTCTACTTTTGCAAGAAGACTATTAACACCAAAACATTTAACACTTTTGAATTTGCTGTGTACTGGAATTTATACTGTATACTGGAATTATTATACTGGAATTTATACTGTATACAATAAATATTTATACTGGAAAAGAAAATCGTGAGAGAATCGTGATCTCAATTCTAAGCCAAAAAATCGTGATTCTCATTTTATGCAAAATCCTGCAGCCCTACTATATGATACATCTATATATACACTGTCAAAGATACTTGAGTGTCTTTGAGTGAAGATTTAAGGTGACAGGAAATATAAATAAATGCAACTTGAATCTTTACTGAAGCTCAGTATTTGACACAGAGTTCAAACTCATTGCTGTAATAACTAATAATGATTAATATAATAACTATAATATTGACGATATTATAGTTACATTACCAAAGTGAGATGATTTTAGTCTCATGAACAACATTAGCTAATTGTTATTTACTAGCTAATCTTAAAATGACTGTTCAGCACAGAAATGAAGCCCAACAATTATGTTTACAGTCCTGTGGTCTCAGCCTCAGATACTTATCAAATCACACAAAGCGCTTGTAGAAACAAATGAACAAAATATATTCTCCTTCATTTCTGTCATACAAAGCTGTATGAAATGTTTCCAGCAGTTAGTATCATGGTTGCTAGGCAACCTGGGCAGCGCGACGGAGGCTAGACCGTCCCATTTCACAAGCCTACAAGCCTCGCACTTCCGGCCTTAGCGTTCTTTGAGTTCGCGGCCCTTGGGGACCGTTAAGGCTGCTTACTTTAAGGCTGCAGAACCTGAATTGGGATACAGCCGCTCTCTTCGCTCCGGTGCTGCTGTAATACCAACATGTGTGTGTATGTGTCTGTCTGTGTTTGTGAAAGTGTTTGTGTGTGTGCGCGCTCCCTTTCTTGTGGTGTTTGGGGTCTTCCTGCTGTCTGTGCTGTTCACTTAAAAAAAGGTTTAAGATGCAAATGTTAAAGAGTTCTGCACAGCTTCCAGGACATCACTGTTGTTACTGACACCGGTGGTCACTATGTGAACTTCAGGTGAGCTCACCTGTGCAGGTTTCCTTCAGTGTCTGATGGCAGCAGCCTGACTGCACAGCAGTGAGCTGTGTGGGGATAAACGAGAGAGCTCTCTAGCCTCCAATGCCACCTCCTCGGCCTCCTGAAGGGGCCCGCTCAGCAGGAGACCTGGCTCATTTCTTCTCTCTGAGATCCACCAAGCAGAGGTGTGAGCATTCTGAGGGAGCTGTGCGCTTTGATTTCACTGCAGGTTACAAGTTCAACTTAGATCAAAACATAAGAATGGTCACCAGTGTGGCCACAGTCTGGAACTTTACAGCTAATGACTTCATTATTTATCAGTCATCAGATTACACAGATATTTTTCTAACACTGTCTCTGGGGAAAAAAGTCAAGTTTTGAATTTATTTGTCTTGTGCACAGACTGCAGCTCAGCTTAAAAAAATAAGACATGAACATAAATATGACTTGTAATTAGAAAAATTCGCACAACTGGCAATGCCCCTAACAATAAACACATTAAACAAGTGAGTTATAAAAAGCTTCCAACCATACAGCTGTTATGAAGGAGGAAATTATCTATAACGTTTGTGTATCAGACTGTAAACCCTGCTGCCTCTGCTGGACAGCAGAAGAACTGCAGTGTTCTTCAGCCATAGAGACTGATGCCTGAGCAGTTAAAAGAGCAAATACTAATAACTCTAACCTGTAAAAAGCCTCTTCAATCAATCATTACCCCATCCAGTTCTGCCAGCCATCCACTCTCATTCCCTCTGGACCAATCCATCTGGGTGCAGATTGTGTTGTTACTGTTAGGTTAGTGTTAGTGTTGCTAGCGAGCAGCTCGCTTCCTCTTCCAAAATCCATTCTGTAAAAATCTGAAAACATCCACCTGGATTGTTATGTTGAGGAAAACCGCAGTTTTGAGAAATTCAGCATTTTCTTGAACTAATCCTGGAACAGGAAGAAGGTATGTGAGCTAGAATGAAACCTTTCCTGTTTTTAATTTGGGCAGTCAAGACCTTCAAGACTCTTCTCATGCTCTTCTGGTAGTAATATTGGGATTTATATGAAGCCCTTTAAGAAGAAGAAGCATATTGACAGCCATTCAGAGGTGCAGAAGGTCTTGAAGGGAGATTGGCAAAAAGTGTTCTATGTTTTCTATGGGCAGGATCCCACAAAAGTTTCTTGCCTGAGAAGGAAAGAACAACAAAGACACTTTTCAACTTTAAACTTAGTGTTTTTAATGAAAACATTCTGCACTACATTACCCAACAGCCCCACACAGACTACACCTTTCTCACTTAAATGGCATGAAGAAGCTGACAGAGGAAACTCATCCCCAGTTATATGAGAAAGAAGAATTTGGTCCCACGTTTGGTCATTTGAACCAAAAACGAAATGAGTTTAAAACAGAAATGACTCCACAGAGAGAACAAACATGCACAGCCAGATAGGTTTTATTTTTTAAGAAGGAGATTAGAAACTGGGTCTTTTAACATTTGTTATCATTCGGATGTATGGAAAATTTATAGCTTCTAAAATTGCTCAAATGTTGATCAAATTGAAAACCCGTACTGGAAAGAATCCCAAAAACTGCATTATTTTCCATCTGCAAAAGACAGGAGGAGATTTTAGAGATATAAGAAATAAAAATTATGCTTTAACAAAAAGGAAGAAAGACAGGGATGGATAACTGTAAGTGTAATAGTAACTGTAACTATAACAGTACATCTGACATGAACAGTAGAATAGTGTAAGAGTGTGTGAAGCTGCTACAAACTGAGTGTGAAACATTTCTTTTCATTCAGCACAGAATAAGGCTAAACAACATCTTTAAAAATGTTATTTAAGATGCAGTCACTGAAATTAGGACAAAATCGGCTCAAGTATATAAACGCTAACATTAGCACAGAGTCACTCACTCAGTGGATTTTATTAACAACTTCTGCAATTGTTAACCATATGACCATATAACCTGCAACCATATTGTTTTCCACTGCATGTAAGTTACTAATCTTCTCCTGTGAGCTGGAAAGCTGCAGTGTGAGTATTGTTATGAACAGTAATCGCAATAAAGAAAAGTGTACGCAGAAAAGCGCTGAGATGTGGTCGGGTCTGTTGCACATCGTTTACACTAACCTAACCCAACTCAACCAAACTCACTTCAACCCAACTCATCAATTCAACCTCGCTCAACCACACCCCACCTCACTGAACTCATCAACTGAACTCAACTGAACCTAACCTAACGTAACTCAACTAAACCCCAAACCATTAATACAAGGCATGTCTATACTAAGAGATTAAAATGACTTCTGTGTTGAAAGGGTCCTCTTATCCTAATTCTGAGTTATGTATTATTAATCTTGAGCCAGAGTAGCTCAAATGAACCACTATTAATTAAACATTAGGCCTTCACTTCATTCCCTGTAATGTAAACCAACATTCATTTAATTTCTGCCCCCCCCTTTAGCAGAAGTGGGTGAAATGAGATGACTATTCAAGGACATCATCTCTGTCTGTGGCATCAAATACAGTTCTAAGAATAGAGAAAAAAGATTAAATTAATTTAGAGCTGTGCACAGCCTCAGTGATTATTTCTACATACTCTGAGCACAATATTTGAAATTTTGGTGATGTTTAAAATGAAAAGGATATATGTGACAGACAATAAGAGAGAACGGGACAGATCTACTTTAACTGCTTTAAAACAGCCTGCAACACTGGCATGCTGTGACAGAGCTCTGGTTTTATTTCTATGCTGTTCAAGATAGAAAAAGTCACATACCACATACCTATTTTGTTGCTATGATGCCAGGTCTCTCTTGGAAATGAGATTTTTAATCTCAATGAGATTTTTTACCTGGATAAATAAAGGATTAATAAAAATGCTGACACTTTACCTGGGACCTACTACTAACTTTTACAGCTTTTACTCAGCTACTTAAAATGGTCTCAAATGTTAACCCGATTGCTAGGTGATTTTATACAACTGTCAGTCACAGTCGTCATTTCATCTCATCAAATCAACACCTGTGTGCAACACTAAATAATTTGTGTCTGAAAGTAAACTGAAGAACTGCAAAAGAATTTTGGCAGTAAATGTTGGCAGAGATAGCCAGAGATCTCACATTGGCTTCGGTAATAGAACCATTTTTTAAACTTGATTTTGTTAGTTTCCTTCAGTTTTTAGTACATTTTTCAGCAGCAGTAACAGTCTGTGCTCCTGCTGAGCTCTTTGCACAAAAAAAAACTTCAAAGCAGTGTAACCTGGTTCCACCAACATCCCCTGCTTCATTGCAGAGTGGGAGGGGCCACTGGTTCTGTCTGTAGAAAAATTTGAAGAAAATATGGCGCTGCAGCTGCTGACACTCTGTTAGGTGAGCTGATTTCACTTCTTTCAACACCAAAGTCTTTGGTTGGACGATCTTTTGAACAGCTGGTCGGTCTATTGGTCAGTCCATCTGTTGGTTAGACCGTCTGTGGGTCAGCTTTTTGGTCTGTTGTTCGGTCTGTTGGGTGGATGGTCTGTCGGTCAGCTGGTCAGTGTGTTGGTCTGTTGGGTGGACAGTCTGTAGGTCAGCTTGTCGGTCTGTCGGGTGGACGGTCTGTGGATCAGCTGCTCCGTCCATTGGTTGGTCTGTTGGTTGTATGGTCTTTTGGTCAGCTGGTTTGTTAGTCTGTTGGTTGTATGGTCTTTTGGTTAGCTGCTTGTTCTGTCAGTCAGTCTGTTGGTGGACAGACTGTCCAACCAACAGACTGACCAACAGAACCCACCACTGTGTCTATGACACTAGAATGTCGTTAGAATGTTGCCATTTTGACATGCTGTAGAATGACTGGTTGCAGCACTCAAACAACATTCGAGAAAAGCTAAAACTAATAGCCCTAGTTATAGTAACTAAGGGGCATGTCTTACTGAAAAGTCCCTGCTACCAGCTCTCCTGCCTCCTCTCTCTTCTGTCACTCAGTAGAGTTACTCTAAACAAGGATTCCTGCTCGTGTTCGGGACTCAAAGCAGCATCGTTCAGCCTCTTCATTCATTCCTGTCACCAAACATTTGGTGACAGGTCAAATCAGCTGTTTATCTCTGGCAGTGAAGTGATGGAACCCAAGCCAAGATGAAGCAGCATTTGATTACACAGCCATCCCAGCCAGCTGTTAGCACACTGCCTCCAGCTGTGAACCGCTGATGAACCACCTGTCAGAAGACAGTTCTCATAATCCTTGATTTTAGGTGGCAGCTGGTAATGTCTTGGCAAGTATTGCTGAACCAATCTCAGGTCTTGGTGAGGGGATGCACATCGAGCCCATCCTGTTGAGTGACGTTGCTTTGGTCATGCCCTCACTGCCCACGGTGGATAGGGGGAAGCTCTCGTAGCTCTCTGTAGCCCGGTTGCCGCACTGGCAGCGTTGCAGTGTCAACTTCAGCTCCCTCTGGAAGTTGCTGTTGAGGAAGCCGTAAACGATGGGGTTAATGCAGGTAGAGGCCATCGCCGTCAGGTGACAGGCAGAGAAGACTGTGTCGTGCTGACAGTCTGGGAGGGCCTGGTGGTGCCAATCAAACAGAGTGTTGAAGACATTCAGTGGCAGCCAGCACAGAGCAAAGGCTATGACGATGGCTAGCAGCATTACGTTTATCCTCTGGGCTCCTCGAGTCCTCCTGCTGCGCTCCAGCATGTCCCTGCACAACACAGCATGACATCCATCATCAGACAATCCACCAGGAAATGTCACAGCAAACCTCAAGAAGCATTAACTCACAGCGTAACCACACACAGTGTCCACACAGAGCTCTAATCTGACACGATAACACGAACAGTTAAAGATGATGTGGATGAATCGAGTTATCACAGAGTGAGTGAACGGAAAGCTGTGTGACCTGCGACGTCTCAGGCGTAGAAAGATCCGGAGGTAGCAGAGGAGCACCAGCAGAAGGGGCAGGCAGTACTGGAAGATAAGCAGCGAGGTCGTGTAGGCTAGGCGATGCTTGTCTGACGGCCACAGCTCCATACAGATCAAATGATCCCTTAAACAAGACAGACATGGATAATGAAAACGGAAACACTTATTTAACTTTTAGAAGCACTGATTTAGGAAGTTGAAGATTTCATGTAACTTCTGCACTAAGCAATATCCCAAAACATCTGTGCCTCGATGTAATATCCCACTGAGCACAACTTTACTGAGGCTGGTGTCCAACCTCTGGTGACAGTTCTGAACATTACTTCACTCCTGACCCAGAAGTTTACCCAATTTCGCTGTGCAAGAAACTGCACAATGACAATAAAAAGCTCTAAGTCTAAGTCTATGTCTGACCCATTTGATGGCATTTTCACCTGCTTGGCATCCAGCGCTAATCTCAGAGGTATAAATATGTAACAGAATTTTCACTTAGAGATCAGAAACTAACAGATGAAACTGCCCAGAGGTTCATGAGAGGAAGGCTCTGAAAAAGAGGCTTTTTCAGTTTGTTGACTGAACCTCGTATGAACCGCTTGCTTCTCTGGAACATATATGTTTGGGAACGTACTGAGGATGTACAGGGGTTTACTGGTACTACATTAGTGGCTTTTTTTGAATTTTTACCTGCTTGCACACCAGAATCAATAAAACCAGGTCCCTTCATATCTAAATCATACTCTCTCTGACCTTAGAGCAAAGCTGTCTTTGTCTCAGTCCTGTTATCAGAGTCTGAAATCGGCAGGTCCACTCACCTTCTTGCATTAACGTTTTCAGGTTTTAGATGTGCTGATAAGCAGATACAGTGCTGTTCCCTGACTGTCTGAGCCAACAGAAATGCATCTTCAGTTTTCTTGTTAAATGAAGTAAATACAAACTCTTCAGTATCCAGATATGAACCCTGAAGTCTCAGACAGCGTCAGGCTCTGTGGATGAAACACTCTCTGCGTCTCTATCACCAGGCACCAGAGCGGAATTTAAAGAAACTCCAACAAATGCTGACATTCTTCTTCCACAAAATCAGAACTGTAAATAAACACCTCCTTCAGTGACTCTGATGGCCCTGAACCGGTTCTAAAGACTTCAGTTGGTACAGGAACCTCCGAGGATAAAAGGTCTTTCTTAAAGTGTTCATTAAGTATTTCTGACAGGCTAATGTCCAGACGGTCGGATTGAGACACATTCAGGTTCATTTATTGTGCTGCAGCAGACTTTATTCCCCTGATGAGTTCTGCTGCTGAACATCTTAGGGCTACGCTGCTTTTAGCTAAATGCAAAACAAGCCCAAGGCGTTTTGGGCTGTGTGACAAATACCGAACATTTCCAAAGAATAAAAATAAACTCTGGGCTTTGAGAAAATCAGTTATGTGTCCTCATAGCTCAGCTCAGCTTCAGTTTAAAATGAAACAGCATCTCTGGACTGAAGCTAAGAAACACCTGTATCCCAGATCTCACCTGAAGGGGTTGGCAGGGAGGCTGATGTTCTGGAATGGGTCATTGGTGAGGATGTTGAAGGAGAGGAAAGGCAGTGAAATGAAGCAGGCAACCAGCCATGTCAGCCCCACAGCCAGATAGGAGTGTCCCGCGGCGGGGGACCAGCCAGTGGGATGGAGGATCAGCTGATGGCGCTCCAAAGCGATCAACACCAGGGAGAAGACCGACACTGTCACCGACATGCACTGAACAAAGGGCGTCACCTGGACGGGCACGAAACACAGCAGAGGACAAACTGAAGGTGTGGTTATCGAGCTCACGGTACACTGTGAGAGCGCGGCCCCATGGTCATGACCAGCTCCACCTTCACGCTGTGACATCACACTTTTATCCATTCATCCAAATGTATTCAGTTTCCCCTGTTACATCAGCTGACAGCTTCATGATGACCTCACAGTGAGCAAATGAAGGCAAGTTTTTTTTTCTCTTTTAAAATGTGAATGAACACACCTACAGGTGAGCAGGGCAGGCGGTACCTGGTCTGCAGGTAAAGTGCTGCTCGGCCTGCTGGGCACATGAAACACTGCCATGGATGGCTCTCACTTCCGTGTCAGCATTGTTCTTCATCTCTGCTCCATCAGATCTGGTGCTACTGAACTTCTAGATCTGTAACGTCAGCGGCTCTGAGTTGCTGCTGTTTGCTGTCTAATTTCAGATTTTTATTAAATGAGGTGACACAAACTTGTAATTAAAACCGATCTGTTATCTGTGAAGCCAGAGGCTGCTCAGGCTTTCAGGTGGTCGGTCACTCAGACTGAGAAGCATTACGTTCCTGTGTGGAGCAGACCACCACTTATCCCTCTGCTCCCATAGACATGCTTCCAGAGGAAGCACAAACACAGGCTTGTATCATCCTCTGGTCTCACCTGCGTACCTGACTCATCTGCATCACTAAGCAGTGGAAAGCTAACGGTCTTCATTTATCAACACAACTTTGGAGGATAAAAGGAGTATGCAATCCATGTTCAGGGTGGGCAGAGTCAGCACCTGGATTGCCCCCCCCCCCGGCTCGTTTTTAATTTTACATCTGTCTGACAATGCTGGATGACTCTTATTTTGAAAGTCACTGGAAAGTGCTGGCCAGTGAGCCTGGACCGTTCCTGTCTAAGGTGCCTCAGTGGTAGCTTATCAGGCCGGTGGCCCAGAGTGAGGTTCTGCCAATGTGAAGGTTATGGTTTTATTTTTTATTTAACCAGGAAAAACACACTTGAGATTTAAAATCTCTTTTAAAAGCACGTCCTGTGTTCTGAACACTCATTAATTCAGTGTTCAGCAGTGCAGTCATAAGCTAGCAGCACTTACAGTAGTTAAAATAAAAGAAACAATCATAACTTAGAAACTCCATGTCAACAAAGAATGATTATCTTAGTAAAAGTAAGCATCTAGTGCCAGAAATGAAGCGGATAATATTCAGGTATTCAAGTCCTTTACAGCTGCCTGAAGAAGAGCAGCTCCTTCAGATACTCCTGCAGCTGACTCCAGGAGGAAGGAGCTGCAGGCTCGGTGTGAAACTGTGCTCAGGCTGACAACACAGCCCTGCAGACAGCTTCTCACTGTCGTCTCTTTATTGTTTTTGAAGGAAAAGGTGATGATTGCACACTGGTGAGTGCTGTTGTCCCAGCAGCGGTGAGCGTGCACGGCACACTGACCTTGCACAGGGCCTCCCCCAGCACCCAACGATCCATCAGCGTGTAGATGACGGTGACGGGCAGACAAACGATGCACATAAGGATGTCGGAGCACGACAGGTTGGCGATCAGGATGTTGGTGACGTTGCGCAACTCCTGTTGCCGGGCAATGATGAACACCAGACCTGCGTTGCCTAGCAACCCAATGGCAATGACAGCGCTGTATGCCACGATGAGGAATGTTGCCCCGCCTACTGAGGGAGGGCACTGAGAGGTGTCTGCCCAATCGGAGGCCTCCCAGACGTGGAGGACGCCGCTGTCGTTGGACATGGCAGGAAGGGAGAGGAGGAGGAAGTAGGGAGCGGGCAACCCAGCGGTGGCGACTCAACTTCCAACAATAAAGAGGATCAGAACACAATGAGGGGCGAGGAGGAAGAGGAGGAGGAGGAGGAGAACAGCACCCAGCTACGTGCTGTGAGGAGTTGGATGATGGAATCAAATATGGCGTCCTGTGTTTCTTTCCCCGGGGATCAGCTCTGCAGCAGCGTTTTCTGCAAAGAACACAAAACAGCAGCGAGTAATAAGATGGAGATGAGGAGCTCTCAGCGGACAGGCAGAGGAGGAGAAAGGTGAAGAGGAGGAGTGAATGAATACATCAGCACATGCTGCTATCTCATGCTGAGCTGCACTCCATCGTCCAGAGACACTCGTTAGCGTACACTGCCAGCGTGGGTGTAATGGCACATTATGCAGCCCAGCTCACTGGGACACACTCGGCAGAAAAACCACTCTCCAACTATCTGACTGTCGGCGTTTGCTAAAACGTTGCAGCGTGAGGGCTGCACTTCAAACAGGAAGCCTAAAAACACTCCTCACAGCCCGACAGTCGCTCCATGTGCACAAGTAGCAGAAAAAAAACAAATCCTAGCTCAGCTCTCCAACAGTCAGACCTTCCAAATCATCAGACTGTAGTTTGCTCTCACCATAACTCATGCAACGATTTAATTTAATTCAGTTTTATTTGTATGGCATCGAATCACAAGAAGAACCCTCCGGCAAAACCAGTCTCAGGGACGGGCAGCCATGTGCACTGACCGACCAATAACAGCATAACTAAGGAAAGGACTCAGGGTCACCTGATACAGCCCTAACTATATGCTTTAGTAAAAAAGAAACTTTAAAGCCTAATTTTAAAAGTAGAGATAGTGTCTGTCTCCTGAATCCAAACTAGAAGCTGGTTCTACAGTAGAGGGGATGGAAAGCTGAAGGCTCTGCCTCCCATTCTACTTTTAAATACTCTAGAAACAACAACTAACAGTCTGCGAGTGAAGTGCTCTAATGGGGTGATACAGTACTATAAGTTCTTTAAGATAAAATGGGGCCTAATTATTTATTGATTATTCTTGTATGAAAAGAGCAGGATTTTAAATTCAATTCTGGATTTAACAGGGAGCCAATGAAGGGAAGTCAGTATAGGAGAAATATGCTCTCTCTTTCTAGTCCCTGTCAGTACTCTTGCTGCAGCATTTTGGATTAACTGAAGGATTTCGAGGGAGTTGTTTGGACATCCTGATAATAACGAATCATAGTAGTCTAGCCTAGAAGTACTAAATGCATGAACTACTTTTTCAGTGTCAATCTGAGACAGGATATTTCTAATTTCAGAGATACTGATCAGATGACAGAAAACAATGATGATCCGCTCTGTTCTGCAGCTCCACAAAGCCCCTCTCATTCCGGAGCAGCTCGAGAGCACCCCCTGTGGAGCAGGGAGTCTAGAAAGGTTCTGATGCTAACAACTATAAGCTGAGATCAGCTGCTGATACACTGTAGCCCTCTGTGGTTTTAAAGAATATCAGAGTTTGAACTGTCATGTATGATATATGTAATGTTCTTACACATGTGCACAAACTATACACACACCCACACTCAGTATCGTTTTAACGACCCGTGTTCTCACTTATCTGCGACGTGCTGACTTAACGGTTTAATTAAGATACAGCTTTTAGACCATCAGCTGCTGCAGGCAGCGCGCATCCTCTGATCACATGCACATCGACACCATCAGCTGTCTGCCTCGCCCACTCTTTCATTTCGCCCTCCACTGACAGCCTTCATCAGCCCTGAGGGACTGAACTGCCAGCAAATGAGACACACTCACAGGTGTTTGTGCACAGCCACGCTCTGACTCACTCGCAGCAGCCACCCGCTTGTCATGGCAGCCATCACACAGCTCCATATCTGCTGCTCCCTCGCTCCTGCACAAGAACACTCAGAGATCCACACTGTTTTTAAAATATGCACACGTAAAGCTCCAACACAGGACAGCAGCTTGACAGATGTTGACGAGACAACACCAGTAACATCTGGAAACAATGCGTTTCCTCTGCTGTGCAGAAAAACATCACAAAACATGGCATGTTTACTACATCATCGCCTGACAACAAATCTTCTGTCTCCAGGCAGGTGTTCGGTCATTCTGTCTAATGGCCAGCAGGGGGCGACTCGTCTGGCTGCAAAATGTAGTTGGTCATATAGAAAAAGCCCAACAGAGACCCAAGAGCTGAAAACATCCAAAAGGTGCAACCCAGATCAATCAGTTCCTCTGACATCTGCTGGATGTCAGTTCGGCAAAGACAGTGCCCACAGGTCTCTGCGGATTTCATGCAGGAGGTTATCAGAAAACCTGACAAGGTTACTGTTAATGTTCCAACAATGAATTTTGCAATGTCTCAACTTGACTCCGCCCACTGTCTGCTCAGCTGGTATGCTACTACATGTGTCCAAAACCAGCTACAGCTGTGGTTTGACAGAAATAGAGAAAATCTTTATTTTATGTCATTTTTTTTACTTTTACTGAAGAAAATTGTGTTGTTTCATCTCCGTGTGATGTATCTGGGTGAACATTACAGCCATGTGCTGAGCCAATTATGCTAAGTTTAGCTAGTAAAATAGTTTGCTAGTGTAGCTCTTGAAATGTCTCATTTCATTTTGATGGTATAAATGTAAAAGGATTTCCATTATTGATATTTTACTATATATACTTCATTTTTTGAAAAAAAAAAATCCTCAGAGGTGAAATTTAACTCAGTTGTCTCAAATATTATATTTCAGTTAAAATTCAAGGTATATATATATTTCTGTTTTATATCATTTATACCTATGTGACTGTCTAACAGACAAATATTAATATATACAGTGACCACTGGCTGAAATCTTTAGTTATATTAAAGGGCAATATCCCAAAAAATCCCAAAAATTAACTACAAAGATTTGATCCTTGTACATTTCATATAAAATGGAAATCAGACTGATGCAGTAAATATTCTTTTATTGATGAGAAAACTGGGCAATATAATTTATTTAAGATGTTGAAGATATCAGAGCATTAAAGAGGCCGATATTTGGGTAAAAGAGTCTCAAGGAATAGAGATGACACAGAAACAACATCGTTATAAAATATTGTATTTTACATACATACTTTATGTACAGCTTTTCACAGCTCTTTGAACCTCTTACTTGCATACTTTTCCCACTGAAACCAGTACAATCCCATTGTGATGAAAACAATATTTTGACTAAATACATTCTGGATAAATCAGATCATTATCAAAGTTGTCTATGGTTACTTTTATTTTCTCTTCTTTCCCTGTCAGATCCTGTCCTGCAGGATAAACATCAGTCAGTGGTTCCCTATATGCAGCTGTTATAGTTTGTGTTGCAAATACACGAAGCAAATATCTGAAAACTGTTTTAAATATTTTCAGCCATCCTTCATGTACAGAGAACAGCTGCCTGTTCTCCCCCTGTTCTCCTCTTCATCTCTCAGCTGCTGCTGGCTCCTTTTTCTCCTCCTCTTCCTCACACACTGCTGAACCTGTGCTGGTGTTTCATCAGGGATGAAGAGCCTCTGTCCCTTCTCAGTCTCTCCTTACTCTGGACGCTTGCAGAAGAAAATCAGCCATGGCAGTTAACAACAAAAGCAGGAGAAGTTTATCAAATATCTGTTAACTTGCAAGATGAAAACAAAGTTTTCTAATAGAATCACATGGACATATTTTATGTATTTAAATCACACAATCATTTAAAATCCTTCATGCACCAATGCATGAAGGAGTGTTTCCGCAGGTCCTTCCTCCCTGCAGCTGTCAGACTGTACAATCAAAACTGCTCCCAACAATCATAGATGTTTACATCTGCGCTGTAACTGCAATAATTTAATCAACCGATTCGCACCACAACCTGGGTTTGCTTCTTATCTGTAGTTAATTTTATTTAATTTAATAACTGTACACTACTCCGTTTATAGTAACCATTGTCCTTGATGTAAATATGTAAGAAAGAAAATTGTGTATGTTTCTGTTCTGTGTCCTGTTTGTTTGTATATGTGTCTTTCTGGCTGCTGTTACAATCAAATTTCCCTGTGTGGGACAATTAAAGAGAAATTTAAGAGGGAAAAAAAAAGAGAAAGGAGAAACAGGACATATGATCCTGCAGAAATGTTGGGCTTTATAACAAAAGTGACATGCTCAAATTGTATGATATAAGCATGACAAACAGCACAGACACAGGAGGAGGACTTCTCCATTTAATGTCTGTCTTATCATTAGTGATTTATACAGGATGAGAGCTCATTAACCCTAAACTTCAGTACAGCATGGTTGAGTCTGCTTCCTTACCACAGCTCACGGGCCAGACTTTTGGTTGGTTTGTCCTAAAACAACCGAATGTTAGCTACATTGAATTTTTTAAGACTTTTCATTATGCTAAATTTGTTCCGCTGGATATTTTTAATGAGATAAAAAAAAAAAATTAAAAAAAAACAGTACTTACTTTTAAAAGTTTATTTCTGGATTGCTTCACTTCAACCACCTGCCGTTTTTCTCAAAAGATTTTCTTCAACCCTTATTCGCAATGAATCCTGGGATATGGTGGGCCACGAACGATACACCCGGCCCATGCTTCAAATCTGGGGAAAAGGAGGACGCATTTCTGGGCCACATTTGGAGCAACCTTCGAATTTGGACAGCCTTTGTCACCATGTAATCGGCCTACAAATGTGACCTCCGAAGGATGTGGCCCCTGAATTTCGACACAGCCTAAGACTGGGGTGGCCAACTCCAGGCCTCGAGAGCCGGTGTCCTGCAGGTTTTAGATATCACCCTGGGTCAATACACCTGAATCAAATGATTAGTTCATTACCAGGCCTCTGGAGAACTTCAAGACATGTTGAGGAGGTAATTTAGCCATTTAAATCAGCTGTGTTGGATCAAGGACCCATCTAAAACCTGCAGGACACCAGCTCTTGAGGCCCGGAGTTGGCCACCCCGGGCCTAAGGCTTCAGGTCACAGAGTCCAGAATCCAGTGGCATTGTGGTGGCTGCATCCATGTTTCCCACACAGTCTGTCATGGATGTGAAAAAATGGCCACCTCTCTCTGAGCCTGGTTCTGTCTGACTTTTCTTCCTGTTAAAAGGGAGGGTTTTTTAGATGTGGGTGGGGAGAATCATGTGACTGCTGGAGTTTCTCTGTATTATTGTAGTATCTTTAC